AGGGACGGGGGGGCACGCGGGAAAGCCAGCCCCGTGTTGGAGTGACAGACAGGTGGGGGCCACTCAGGGATAGGGCCCTGCTGCCCCCACCAGCACCTCCGGGTGACTTCTGCTAAGGAGTCTTCATAGGAGGATGGTCCCAGAGGCCTCCCTCCGCTAACATGGGAGCCCCTCTCCCGCCCCGGCGTGCCAGGAAGCTCCTTCGGCTGCCCGATCACTCAGGCCCTGCCAATCTCACAACATGGGTCATGGCCTGTGACCTAACCTCTCCCTGCTCCTGGGAACGCCGCGTCGGGGGGGCTCCTAGCTCCCACGGGCAGTAGAGGGAAGGGACTGGCCCTTCCCTGCAGACGGCTCTGGCAGCGGGCGGGGGCCCAGACCTCCCCCAGGGGCCTTCCGCTGCTGCAGGACGCTGTTTGGGACTGGCCAGCAGCATGAGAGGGCCGGAGGGGGGGGGGGGGGGACTGTGTCAGGGAGGAGGCAGCTCTTGCCCCTCCCAAGCTGGGCAGGACTAGCAGCAAGCAGCCCCTGGCTGAGTGATCCCAGCAGCAGAGGGAAGATCAGACCCCCCCACACCTCTTGGAACCTCCTGCGGTTGCAGGACGCTCTGCGGTTGCTGCCTTCAGAGTCCAGTGAGGGTGGCAATCCCCTGGCAACCCCCAGTCTCCCGTTGGGCCGGGACCCCACGGTTCCAACACCCTGAGATTTCACGTGGAAACAACTGAAAATGTGAAATTTACCAAATTTTAAATCCCGTGTCTGTGAAACTGGCCAGGAGGGAGGGTGAATTTGGTAGGGCCCTGGGCCACCTTGAGCTGGTGTAAGATCTGGGGTCACGTGCCCCTGGAAAGGCAAGAGAGTGCGCAGTTATCCGTCTCTCTCTCTTCCCCTCCCCTCCCCACAGGCACGTTTCCTTCTCCTTCTCTTCCGCCCTCCTCATTTCTAGCCCCCTCCCAACTCCTCCGTTAGCCGCACACAGCCTGGCTGCTGAGAGCTAACTTTCCCAACTCTCTGTGGTTGTCAGAAGTCGACCCAACCCCCTTTCCTCTAACCCTACCCACTGATGCACTGAAAAATCCAATCCAAGTGGGCACCCTTCGCCTGTCTGTCGTGGGCTCAGAACGATGCTATGGCAAACCCTTCTTAGAAACGTGCCCTTTCTGCCTGGCCCACCCTTGTCAATCTCCTTGGAGTTTTCCATTCCCGGAACATTTTGATGTTTTAGTTTCAGGTTCTAATTCGAAACAGAAAGAAACGTTGGACTGTATCGTGGAGAGAAAACTGCATTTCTGGCCAGCTCTAGAAACAAGCAAACACACCAGCCCCACAGCCACCCGGACCTTTCGGAAGCCTGAGCCAGCGGACTCCCTGCAGGGCTGTGTGCTGTGCCGTAGAAATCACCAATCACTATCTGCACTGTGCAGAAGGCGGGTACCGGCTCCTCATCGTTCTAACTGTGTCATGGTGGAAGGTGGTACGGACACCCGCAGCGTCACTCTCAAACAAACAGCAGCCGCGCTGGCCAGGCTCCCATTACGTACATACGAGGCTCTTTCATTTGTAGTGCCCCAGAACACATGCTTGTCAGTCATCAAGGGATGGTGACCTCAGTTCATGCAGTTGACAAGAGATCTGTTCCAAGCTCTGACGGAGGCTCCAATCTAACATTCTGTTATTCCTATTTCTCAGAGCTGCTGCTAGACATCAGCTCATCTTGCGCACTTATGTTCTTTCTTTGTCAAGCTGCAAATAGGGACCCAGAACTTGTTGGGGGTTTTTTTTTTAGCAAGTAATACAAAAAATAGAGTCTAGAAAGTACCTCCGAGTCAGAAATATTGCCATTCAGCACCTCGATGCTGGGGTCCCTCCAGTCCTCGGTGATGGATGGGATGTAATTGTCTGTTAGAGCACCCCAGACCCTGAAAGTAGAGAGAACTTGTTAACAGCAGTCAGGCAGGGCCAGCTAAAGGAAAGCCGGATGCACCTCGAAAAAGCATCGTGTCCATGTGCCCTGTACAAAAACAGCCCTGAAATAGTGTTCGTATATTTTAAAGCCAGAAAGGACAATTATGATCATTCAGTCTGACCACACAAGCCAAAGAACCTCAGCCAATAATTCCCGCATCAAGCCCATAACTTCTGTTTGACCTATTGCCTAGCTTGCAACAGATACCCAGTACTGGTTGGAAAGCTTAAGAGACTGACCAAACCAATTGTTGAATATCTTTGCTATTAAAAAAAATGGTGTGATTTCTAGTCTGAATTTGTCTAGCTTCCGCTTCCAACCGCTGGACATTTTTCTGCCTTTGTCTGCGATTATAAGGAGCCCTCTGCTCTCAGAAATCTCTTCTACTCATAAATACTTATAGACTGTGATCAAGTCACCTCTAATCCTTCTCTTGGACAGACTAAACAGGCTGATGTTCTTCAGTCTCTTGCTACAACACAGGTTTTCCAGATCTCAGGTTATTCTTATAACTCTTTTCTGAACCCTTTCCAATTTTACAACATCAAAAAGGGAGAACCATAAAGGAAATGGAAATATCAGGGCACAATCTATTATATTCTCGGTGACTGAACAAGATGTTAAACAAATCAAAGATGCAAAACAAATCTATGAGTCAGCTATAAATCATCATGATCTTCTTGCAAATATTAATACAATATTTACTGACACTGGAAAGGGGAGTAAAAGGCATTGACTCAGGGTTTGTCTAGACTACGTGGCTCCGTCAACGGAGAAATGAGGCTTACAGGATTTGACGACAAAGGGTTCTGGGGTCAGCTGATCCCTGTTTAGACTACTGCACTGTACTGACAATCAGGTGATCGGCACAGCACGGCGGCCATTTTGATGTAAAGAGCCATGTAGTCTAGACACACCCTCAGGTTTATACCATTTCTCTGGGGAATGTTTCGAATCCATGCTATATAAGAAAAGTAATACAGATCTGTGAAAACAGATAAAAGTTCTCCTTGGTTTGAAACTTTCACTCTGTGTTTGTCACCAACTGAAAGGCTTTGTCTATACTTCCGGTTTTTGCCGGCAGAGAGTATGCAAATGAAGCACTGATTAGCATTTTGTCATGCTTCATTTGCATAATCTATTCAAGCCATTTTTGCGCAAGGGATTTTGGCACAAAAACAAGCAGTGTGGATGCTTCCTTTTTGTGCAAAAACCCCTTTTTGTGCAAGATCCAAATGCCTCCCACTCTTCAGATAGAGATGCTTATACTTAGATATGGCTTAACTAATGTATAGATTTTATGGATCATGTGAGTTATCTTTGGAAAGGTTATGATTTACTGGATAGGATCATCATATGTGCATGCACCTATCATTTCTGTATCTGAAATTAGGAATATGGAATAGATATCCATTTAAAAAGTGCTTGCACCTAGGGAAACAGCCACCAGGCAGCAGGTTAATCAGCCCGGATGGTCCAGTAGGAAGGACAATAGCATTCTAAAGATACTAATCTCTCATCTTCCTGAGATGCTTCCTAGGATACTGCTTTGATACTGCAGGATCATGTCACCTGGCAGAGAACGCCATCTTGATCTGCTAGACTTTTTCCACTGAAAGGGGATGGATGGTTAAACTAGGAAACAAAGCAGTCCTGCCACAAATACAATCTATTTATGCCAGGGGGATGAGTTAATCTGGGGATTTCTTCCCTGTGTTGCCTCTCAAAAAAGAAGGCTGCTGAAAAACACCTGAAAAAAGAAAGTAACTATGATAAGCCTTGGGGTTGAACCCAGATGAAAAAGATGTAACCGGTGAAAATGACAGCTGGAGATTTCACCTGCACTCAGTGCATTTTACCTTCAAGAAATTCTGTGACCTGATTAAAACAACATTTAGGGCCAGAAATCATTATCTGGAGCCAGTATTCTTTCGTGTGTTGTGCTTGGTTCGTGTGTTTTGTTGCATTTGCTCAGCAATTAGCTTTGTTCTGCTTGCCATCGCTTATAATCACTTAAATCTACCTTTGGCAGGGAATAAACGTGTGTTTTGTTTTCTAAAACCCAATTTTATTGTGCAATTCATAATGGCAATGGGGGGAACCAAAAGCACTGAGGCAGGGGGTGAATTTCATGAGCTTTTGTTGCATAGATCTCTATACATCACCAGACAAAATAATGTTGGGTTCACACTCAGGCAATCCTCTAGCTGAGGCTTCCCACGCAGAGCTGATTGCAGACCCACATCCGGATGTGTTCCGATCTGCAGGTGCGCAACAGCAAAGCAAAGGGAGGAACCCTGGGCTGGTGGAATGGACGGGCTCAGTGATGGATCCCAATACATCGAGTGCATTTATAGAAATCATTGTCAAAATGCTCCTTCAAAGTCTCCCTGACCTGAATAGAGCCCTGGCAAGCCCTTCTCCCCCTCCCGAATAGCACCCTGGCGAGCCCCGCTCCCCCTCCCGAATAGCACCCTGGCGAGCCCCGCTCCCTCACCCGAACAGCCTGGCGAGCCCCACTCTCCCTCCCGAATAGCCCCCTGGCGAGCCCCACTCTCCCTCCCGAATAGCCCCCTGGCGAGCCCCACTCTCCCTCCCGAATAGCCCCCTGGCGAGCCCCACTCTCCCTCCCGAATAGCCCCCTGGCGAGCCCCACTCTCCCTCCCGAATAGCCCCCTGGCGAGCCCCGCTCCCCGACGTGAACAGCACCCTGGTGAGCCCTTCTCCCTGATCTGGTATCTGGTAGCTCAAAATCAGCAGCCAGTTGATCAGCCATAGTGCTCCGCCCCAGGAACGTTTCCCGCTTCGTGTCACGGCTGTTCTGCACTGCACGGCAGGCTGCAATGACCACAGGAATAGTCTCCTCACTGAAATCTAACCTGCTGAAAAGGCTGGGCCAGGGACCCTTTAATCAGTGGTCATTTGGCAGCTGCTGAGCCTGTCGCTGAAGCACTTCTTGATGCTGTCTAGTTTTCCAGCGTAAGGCTTCATACACCGCACAGGGCCCATCGGGACCATGGCAGGCAATTCCACGCACCCCACTGGAATCTTCTGGTCTTGAAAGAAAGATCCAGTGTGCAGCTTTCTACACAGTCCAGGGTTCCTAAAAATACACGAACCTGTACCTCCCTGAGCATCCTGCACTGAGACCAGCCCTGGCGATTTCCTAGTGCAATGGGGAGGTAGCTCTTTCGGTTGATGAACTCTGTCCCGTGATGGTCTGGGGCCAAAATTGGAGTATGTGGTTCATTTATTGCTGCACTGCAATTCAGGGATCCCACTGCCCGGAACCACCTCCTGCACATTGCCGAGAGTCAGAGTCCTTCACGGCCTTGCACACGTGCATCACCACCACCCCCCTAGTGAAATTTCCAAAGCCAAAGTGATTCACAACTGAGCGGTATCAGTCTAGAGCGGCCAGCTACCACATGGCAATCAGCACCAGCTTTCCAACAGTGAGGCCAGTTCTCGTTCTGGTGTCCTTTGGGGATGTAAAATCCCATTGAATTAGTTAACCCGGTAAGTTTACCCAGTTAACTGATTAAACAGGGGGAGCAGCAAGACTGGGCTGGAGAGGCCCCTGTGCCATAAGCAGGGGCTGCTCCAGTCTGACTGCTTCCAGCTCTGGGGAGGACCGTGGGCTGGGGACCATTCCCAAGTAACGGTTAACCATTACCGCGTACGCATCACCCATTAAGAGTGATGCTTATTGGGTAACCGATTAACTGGTTACCTCTCACATCCCTAGTGCCCTTGCGCTGCAACGCGGGGGCAAGCGCCGCACGGTTTCAGGAGGGTCGATCTGCACATCCACGAGTTCTGCAGCTACTGCTCATTATCCCATAGATGCATCATCATGAGAGTCCCCCATTCAGTGCCTGTTTCCTGGTCCACCATACGCAGCTGCTCTGTGAATACCCACAGAGACCTTGAATTGCTTTTTTCCCCCCTCATGAAATACTGCAGGACCAGCTGCTTTAGGGTCATAACGCTCATAACCAGCTCAGCAGTTCAGGAGCCAGACTTTCAGGCAGGGCTGGTGGGTGCAGTTTACAAGGGCTGTGAAAAATGGCATGAAGCAAAGTCCATGAGAGGAGAGGACAGAAAGAACTGCATCATGAGATAGCAAACAGCTAATGCATCACAACCCAGCCCCACAGCAACCAGGAGCAGGGAGGCTTGCTACACAATGGGAGAGCTCCCCACAATAGACCCCTCTCTCTTTGCTCAGGCAAGAGCGCCAACTATAGGCGTGCTCTGCTGGATGTGCACAATTAACGTCATTAAAGCAGTTTACGATCAACAACGTACCGTATGAATTCGCTGTGGTGCAGAAAATGGCCTTAGTCTCACTGGTAACATAGAGGCCTCGATGTTATCACTTTGGGAGTACAGACAGTGCAATTTTTTTCAACATAAAACATTAAAAATGGCCTTTTTCCAAAGAAAACATTTTTTCAAAAAACGATTCACTTATTCAACTGTTTTCGTTTTTTGCAAACAGTTTCATGACTTCTTTACCCATTGTTTTTATCAAAGTTTATCAAAATCATATATCAAAATAGTAATCTCATGTTTTTGACAAAAAAATATTTAAAAATCCAATGAAAATTTTGAAAAACTGAAAATAGATCTACTGGAAATCCTATTTTCATGTAGTTCTTATTTTTCCTTTTTTGGCCAGGTTTATGAGGACTCACTGCATTAAAAGAAATTAAAGCCTCCTTGGCTACGTCTAGACTGCCCCCGCTTGTGCAAGAGAATGTGCAAATGAGGTGAAGCAGCAGAGAGATGAAGTGAGAGACCGGAGGTTCAGGAGAGAAGACCGATGTGGAGACTTGAAAATCCTGTCTTATGACAGGCTAATTGGCTAGTTTTTTAAGATTTCCTGCCAGAGCATGCACATTCTCTCCTTTTTTTCAGGAAGAATGGCTCTTGCACAAAAGGGGGGTTTTGTGCTAAAAGGAGCAGTGTAGCTGGCTCCTTTTTGCGCAAAAGCCCCTTGCGCAAAATGGCGGCTCATTAAGTATGCAAATTAGGCACAATGCAAAAAATGGCGGCTCATTAAATATGCAAATTAGGCACGATGATATTCACCGCTTCACCTCATTTGCATATTCTCTTGTTCAAGAGGGGGCAGTCTAGACAGAGCCCTGGGGTTAAATGTATTATTAGACTTTCTAGTCTACTTACTCCTCATCCTGAAAATTCTCTTCCTCCTCTTGGATCTGGAGGTGATTTTTTACAGGAGCAAGGTTCTCGGTTTTGGCATTGTAATTCCGGAAGCAGACATTCAGCTTTTCATCAAATTCATTCACCAAGTCTTCCATGGATTTGAAGCTGATAATCTCAGAAGAGAAGTTCTCAAGCTCAGAAAAGGAGGGGTCTTCCAGATGGTGGGGAGATGAGCCATAAAAACAATGGGACTTTTCTTCTCGGTCATCAGTGTAGCAGGGTCTCAGATCCTCAAACTCCTCATCCAGACTCACCAGAGGGGCCTCCATCTTAGACACCTGAAGTGAAATAGTATTCTTCAAGTGGGATAATCTGGAACAGAAAGGACACTCGGAGTCAGTAACAACGGCTAGTAAGCGGCACGCATACACTTTTGGTTTCAGCAGGCCTAGCCCTGCTGATACTGAAGGTCTCATCAAAACTTTCATTGCAAACTGTTGGGAGTTGCTCACTGCTTTCTGAATGCTGCACGTTGGCCTGGCAGTTTCTGTATCTGCTGTCAGACAGAGATTAATTATTTCTGGGAAGTTGAGCAAAATCAGTTCAGGCCATTTTTTACTGTAGAAAGATTAACGATTACTTTAAGTAAATTGTAACACACGCTAATCACACCACTCAAAAAGAACTGAATTTCGTCTAAAGATCGAACCTCTAAAAACTGGGACTCTGTGCTCCGGCAACAAGAATGGTCTGGCGTGTTGTTCCCAGGCGACAGAGCCCCGGTGACCAGGAGTCAAGTGGCAGTGGGTGGGGACTACACGTGGCCAGGGCAATCGATACCATTTTGCTGCAACTCTGGGAAAGGTGGATGCCCTGGTGAAGGGCTTTGCCTTGATGGGGTTCCCTAACTGCGGTGGGGCGACAGGCAGAACACACATGCCCATCTTGGCACCCGACCGCCTTTCCAAGGACTTCATAAACCGCAAGGGCACTTCTCTGTGGTGCTGCAGGCGCTGGGGGACCACAAGGGCCGTTCCATCAATATCAACGTGGGAGGTGCATGACGTGCATCATTAGGACTCCGACCTTCCCAGAGACGGCAACTGGAACTCTCGTCCCAGGCCGGAAAATTAGAATCGGAGAGGTGGAAACGCCAAAAATCATCCTTTGCACCCCAGCCTACCCCGTGCTCCCGTGGCCCATGACACCGTAGATGGTCAACCTGACCGCAGCAAGGAGCAGTTCAACTACAGGCTGAACAAGTGCAGAGTGGGGGTTGAATGTGCATTTGGGTGATTCAGGGGAAGGGTTGGGAGTCTGCTGACTAGATGAGAAGTCAGTGAATGTAACATTCCCATGGCGGTGGCAGCCTGTGGTGTGGTCCATGCTATCTGTGAGAGCAAGGGGCAGGGTGGAGGGCCGAGACAGAGGGCAGCCAGACACCACAACAATACGGAGAGCACAGCACCGGGCAGTGCAAATCAGAGAGGCTTTGAAACAAAGTTTTATGAATAGTCAGTTTTGAGAATCATGCACGTTGCTCTCAACAAGGTGCCCCTGCATTCAGTTTGTTTGCCTGTAACCCCACCCCAACCCTGCCGTAGGAGAAAGAAAGAGCCGGAAGCATGGGCCAGGTGCTTGACTTGCAAACCAAAAAATGTCTGTTAATTAATTACAATTTTCTTTTTTTAATCAAAGAAAAACATTAAGGAAAACCTCAGAAGGTAAATGTCATATTAACAAAGTGTTAATTTTTATAAATTTGTTTGAATTTGTTTAAATATAATTATAAGAATGCCATAGTTAAATGGTTAAAAAATAACAATTTATACATGAAGCTAATCAAACTATTACAACAGGCTTCCAACTTTATTTCCCAACACAGTCAAGGGTCAGAAAACAGAAATATCCTCAAAGTACTTGCATCAACGTACATTTAAATTTCATGATGGTTTTATCACCTGTATTTAAAAATGCATTCTGATCTATTTTTTATTCTCTTAAACTCTCTTAAAACAAATTGTTTGTGCTAATGTTCTAAACAGTTAACAAAACTAAAATTAATATCACAAGCAATTATCTAAAAAGCTTTGTAAAAATATGCTACTATCTCTCCTGCTAAAACAGAGTGCTCAAAATGAAAAATTAATACACCTTCTCACAACAGTCTGTAAGCATCTATTTTAGCAGTTAAATATTAGATTTAGTATTCAATATTAGTAATGTATTTTAAATGTAAATAAATGTCTATTCAACATTGCAAAGTTATAGCCTGTACTGTAAAAAATGTGTTCCCATAACAGGGTAACCAACCTGAATTAATCTGTATATTACATTTTGGATTACTAAAAACAAAACAAAAAAGGTAAAACAAACACATATAACAAAAATGTTTCATCTGTTAACTAATTTAAGCTTTTTAAGGTTGCATCCTACAATCCAAAAACACCAAAAAAAATCATCTCACCACAAAAACACCTAAAAATAATGATATACAGGAAAACAATGACCAATTATTTAAAAAACTGTTTTATAAATTAAAAAAACCACCAATCAGATGCACCTCAATCTACCATATATGACCATTTAAATTGCCAATCAGTAGTACTGTTGTATCACTGAATTATTGCTGTATTGTATCATTTATGTACACCATTTACAACATGTATAACACTGCTAAACTGTTTAAACATCACAAAGATAAAAAACAAACAGCCAACAACCACCACCAAAATGGTAAACAGAAAGTTGCCTAGTAACTATACATTAAATAGACAAAATCATTGTTAGCATAAGTCACAATTTAAAGTCAGTAACACTGTATCCTAACTCAGGCAAATGTTAATCAAAACAATCTTGTTCAATGTCTAAGAACCAATGCTAAATCCTAACATCTAATAAATTGGTTACTGCCCATTCAGTAGGTTATCTCAAAAAAACAGCATCCATTAAAAACAGCTGGCTCTGTCAACTACTGGAGTAGCACAAAGTAGCATTACCAATAAAACAAAAAAGCCAGCTATCCCTGTTTACTGGCCAAAAAAAGCTTATACCAAAAAGCAACAACCAGCAGTAAGGTGTAAACTATAGAATAAACAAATGGTACTGTATAGTAACCAATTAAAAAGCAATTGTATATACAAATGAGGCCTTTAATGTCACCACTCCACACTTCTGTTTTACTTCTCCTACATGTAGTTTTGTAAAACGCACCGTAACAATGCTGAAAACTATGGTTGCCAGGTGTCCAGTTTTGAACCGGACAGTCCAGTATTTGAGCTTTCTGTTCGGAAAACAAATTGAGAAAATATAAATGAGAAAATATAAATGTCTGATATTTTCTAAATAAGATGTAACGTAGATTGCAATGTAATGTCAAGTATGTCCGGTATTTTTGTTGAAACCATCTGGCAACCCTATGCAAAACACTCAGCCTATAACCAACAATGGTAACTGTAACAGCCCTAATACAAGTGTGTTCCTATTGTGGCACTAAATTTAAAACGGCCAGGCTATCACATATTAAAAAAACATAATTATGCTTAAATATAAGGTGGTGTCATAAATACATCTATCTGTATGTCCACATACACTACATCCATATTCTCCATATATATTCCTTATCTGGCAGTGCGTCAAGGTTCAGCCATTAAAATTCATTCCTCAACCAATGTCCCGAGCCTAACATTCCTAGGCCCAGCATAAAAACTTAACACAATTAACAAATACAATCTGTCCATCGGTCATACAAAAAAATGTGCAAACTAAGGAACAGATGGGGATTCAAATAATCAGGAATAGAGGAGGATAGTGTAATTAATGCAAATCAACCTGTATTGATGGAATATTCATCCTGTCTCATATCCTGATATCTTTTTTTATGAGATTATAAACGTGATCGATAAAGGCAGCAATTTACTTAGACATCTGTAAAGCATTGCACATGGTACTGCATGACATTTTGATTAAAAACGAGGATATCAATTGATATGGCACACAACCTGGGACTGTGGCACTGCTGCGGCCCCTTAAATTATTATCCGGATTGTCTCTTACATTGTCTTACTGGCGACAAGCAGCGAACCCCACCAGGTGCTGTTACCACACAGGACAACCACATGTGGTTCTCCACACCCAACAAGATGTACGATTGCTCCCCAAGCCCCTCACAAATCACACAAGGCACCAGCCAAATTCCCCCCTCCACCAGCTGGTGCCTCCTGAATACCCCGCCTGCTATGCTCCAGACTCTTTATTGAGTAATGCAAGTTCATTAATTGATTCACCACTTTAACAATGGAAAGCTCACTGGTACGCAGACACATCAAAATACAGGTATCGATTACAAAAATGTATTTAAGTGATTATAAGTGATAGGCAAAAAGTCACAGTAGTCACCCTCCCCCATGCAAAAAAAGATAAGCATGCAGTCTAAATTCCCAACCCAATTAGACTAAGCAACATCTGAACTAAGCACGGTTTTGTAACCCACTGGATGCTGCAGGTTGGTTAGTCTTTCATGGCCTCGGGTCACAAAGGAAACCCTCTGCACCCTGCCCCAGATCACAATCCCCTCCCAGACTGCACCCCTTCTTACAGCCCTCTGCCAGGTCACAGCCCCTGCTTCACTCAAACTCCCTCCCAGACCCCCTCCTGCACTCCAAGTCCCTACCCTGAGCTCCTTTCTGCTCCCATCCTCCATGCCAGACCCTGCACCTCCTCCATTAACATCATGGGAGAGTGCAGCCCTTGACTAAGTTCTTGTTGTGCCCCCCCCATCAAAAATTATTGTCCACCCCTATTCTAAGTGAAGCCTCCAGCACATATGGGGCTGTTGGCCTGATGCGATTATTCCAATGGGCAAGGATTCCTATGCTTTTCTAAGGCAATTCCTAGTTCTCTGCATCGGGCAATTCTTACATGAAGGAACTAGAAAGACTCATTTTAACAATTTTTGGAATAAATGTATTTTTCATAAAAGGGGAAACTAACACAGCGGCGCCAGAGCCTGACATCACGCAGGCAGCGCTCGTTACACCAGCTTTTATCATGCCACTGCCGCACCTGACCTACCCTCTCCAGCTGCTCCAGCCCTGGACCCACAGCAGTTCTGTCAGCGTACCCTGCTTACGTCTCCTTCCTACCCATCATTTCATGTATCCGACACCCACCAATAGGGGACCCTAATCCCATCCGTACCAGTCCCCATCTGCAGCTCTTACATCACCCTTTGCATGGCTTACACCCTCTGCGTGTGCTTCTTCCAGCACTCAGGAGACGCTGGCAGGAACGGGGGAGCAGGAGTGGTGGGAGCATGCAGAGAGGACCATTGTATCTTATGGGGGAAATTCCCTCGTATCCATCATTTTGAAAAGGGAGACAGATACCAAGACTGCAACCCCAATGTGTACATGAGACGTCCTGTCCTTTCACTGCCTTGCATCTCTGCCAACACACCATGGGGAAATCCACTTGTCTCCTGTACAATAAGGTCACAAAGCATAACACCACTTCACTGGTCTTTCTGCCCCTTGGTTCTGAATTTCCCCTTTATTTATCCTAAACCCTGCTCTTTAAGAGTCCACTCCAACAGCAAGCATGCCCTCCAATTTAGCATCTCGGCAGGCAGGTGAACAAAAGCAGAAATTCCGACACTCTGCTTCACTGCGGAGCAAATCTCAAGTTCCATTTTTGCCAAACGTGACATGACAGAAGCAATAGAAAATGGAGAACAGAAAGACGCGGAAGCTCAAGAGAAAATGTCCCATAAATGAGCATCATGTAAAGATTCTGAGGCCAGAAAGAACCGCTATAATCATCCAGGCTGCCCTCCTGCCGACTACACTGCCCCTGAAATGGCTCCTGTTTGAACTAGATCTTGTTTGGAAATCTAATCTTGATTTTGAAATTGCCAGAGATGGAGAATCCCCCAGAACCGCAGGTAATCGACCCCTCTGCCATCTCCATCGGCTTCTGGATTTGCACCAACCTTCCCACACCAGTCAGCTCAGGGCTCCTTTCTCCTCCACTTCTCCCCCCCCTCCCCCCCACGCCCCACCAACCTTCCCACACCAGTCAGCTCAGGGCTCCTTTCTCCTCCACTCGCCCTCGCCTCTCTGGTTAACAGAATTCTCCCCCCCCTCCCCCCCAGTCCCAACTGTGCTCGACTTTCATTAGCTCGCTCCTGGTTTCAAACTCCCACCACGATCTCCATGGTATGCCTTCCTTGCAGAGCCAGTGCCCGCTGAGTCATCCCACTCCAGAAAGGGGGGGGGGAAGGAGGGTACCCTGGGCAAACAGCCTCCCTCCAGCATCAGATCCTGCACACTGATGGTGCTCAGAGAGAAAGGAGAGAGGTGGAAGGAGTGTCCCTGTCACTTTGCTGTTGGCTTTCAGAGCTCCACCACCAGCATTTCCTCTGCCTCCCTGTTCGGCAAGCAGAGAACCCGGCACCATGTTGTTCTCTTTGTAATGAGCACGTCAGGGCTTCCCAGGGACTGCACTAGTGATGTCAGGTCACCTTGTTTTAAGTGCCGGGCAGCAATACTGCATCCCACCCCTCAAAAACACACCCTCTCCATCCCTGGGGACATGCACCCCCCCCATTACAGCCAAACCATCGGCAGGCTCCACACACAACACTCACCTCCCGTATGCTCACACACACTAACAAGTTCCCCTCCCTGCACACCTACCCCCATCTCCTCTCCTCTCTCCTCCACATGCACTCGCTCTTGTCTCTCTGAACAGCCACTCCCACACACATCCAACACCAGCCCACATGCACGCACACACACAGGCCTCTACCTCACTGCAGACACAGCCCCCTCCGTGTGCACTTGCCAGCTCCCAGAAAGCCTTGTTGCTGCACAACAAAGCCTCCTCCCCCACCCCAGGCACACTGACATCTGCTCCCCCCTCCCCCCATGTTCCACATACACCCTGGATTCTCAGCCGTCATACAGCTATGAAATCCCTCTGCACCATCCGCCTTACACCGATCCCCAGGCCCCCTCTCGCAGCATTCTCAGCACAGCCCCCCTGCCCCTCCTCAGCATCAAGGCCTGCAACCCACCATTCCCTGCACATGCCTTGGACCAGGGAATACGCCGCGTCCTCGCACACCCGCACAGCCTCCCTCTGGATAGACACACAGCCCCTGTAAACACACAGCCTGTTCTGGGTACACACACACACACACAGAGCCTGTTCTGGGTACACACACACACACACACAGACCCTGTAAACACACAGCCTGTTCTGGGTACACACAGAGCCTGTTCTGGGTACACACACACACAGAGACCCTGTTCCACACACACACACACAGCCCCTGTAAACACACAGCCTGTTCTGTGTACACACACTCACACCGCCCCTGCAAACACACAGCCTATTCTGTGTACACACACTCACACCGCCCCTGCAAACACACAGCCTATTCTGTGTACACACACACACACACAGTCTCCTTACACAACACAACACAGCTCCCTGTACACACACACAAACACCCCCGTACACAACCACTGACACCCTGTGCACAAACACACCCAGCCTTTCCTGTACACACATCCATGCACACGCATCCAGTCCCGCTGGTGGGCGCGCGCACACAACACAACAACCACACAACCCCCCTACCTCGGACACAAACACACACACAGTCTCCTTACACAACACAACACAGCTCCCTGTACACACACACAAACACCCCCGTACACAACCACTGACACCCTGTGCACAAACACACCCAGCCTTTCCTGTACACACATCCATGCACACGCATCCAGTCCCGCTGGTGGGCGCGCGCACACAACACAACAACCACACAACCCCCCTACCTCGGACACAAGGGCCGTGCCAGGCACCTCTGGGCTGGCGGCCGGGGGTCCCGGGCAGCCGGGCTCGGGCTCAGCTCCGCATCGCCGGCTGGAGGAGGCGCCGCGGGCTCGGCA